GTTAGGGGTCTAGGAGTTGACCTCTGTCCCCCTGCCAATACAGACTGCGTACGGTCGGTGAGGAAGGAGGAGAACCACCGCATAACGGTGCCTCCGACTCCCAACTCACCGAGACGCCGCAGCATGATACCGTGGTCTACGGTATCAAAAGCCGCTGAGAGGTCCAAAAGAACAAGGACAGAGGAGTACCCTCTGTCCCAGGCCCTCCAGAGATCATTGACCAACGCGACCAATGCCGTTTCCGTGCTGTGCCCCAGCCTGAAACCCGACTGGTATGGGTCTAGATAGACAGTTTCATCCAGGTGTCGAGGGAATTGCTGTGCAACCACACTCTCGACAACCTTCGCCATAAAGCGAAGGTTGGAGACCGGGCGATTATTATTATTATTATTATTATTATTATTATTATTATTATTATTATTATTATTATTATTATTATTATTATTATTATTATTATTATTATTATTATTATTATTATTATCTTTTTTAGCCACTGTAACTTCTTTTGTAAAACATGATAAAAAAAGCTGTTTGTTTAATGGGTGATCCTACCCTTTGACTTTATCCACGCAGCATGTTTTACAGGATTCACCCAATTTCTGAATTTGCACAGAACCCTAAATTGGCCCAAAATCTTTGGCGGAGTGTGTGTGTGTCTGTTTGCATAACCCTAATGTCAAGGTTGACTTGCTAAGATGCTTGCTGACCTCTGTCGCTACTCAACTTGCCATAGAAACGGGTGAGGGGGAGCCTGGGAAAAGAAACAGGGGTTTCAAGAAGCCATCCATGGACCGTGAGACCCAAGGCCATCAAAAGCAGGTGTCTGATGTAGAAGTGGACCGTTCCCATAACAAACAGAAAGCCTGTCATTGGGCAACGTGAACACATGGTGGGTGGGAGGTTTGAAAAGCCATTGTTAACTAACCAGAATTTCACGTGGGAACACTAGAGTTGATTTTGCTTCTCCAGGGCCAGTATTATCTATCCAATAAAGATGATCTCTTAGGGCACCTCAAGACCGTAGAGTTTCTTCAATTCTGAATTCGCCAGCCGGACGGTTGACACCTAAGCCCCAAAAGACCTAGCCATGGCATACGGTATGGCAGCATAGGTTATCTTATCTGTCACGACTAAGTGGATAGTGTGAAAACAGCTCGCAAGGGGTGCGTATTCGTTAAAAGCTTGATTTCGACTCACAAGACATCAAAGCAAGATTTTACTTACTCAAACTGGTCTTTGTGATCTGCACAAAATGTGGCAGTTCTCTGAATTCCTCCTTGGGCATGACCTCAATATTAAAGTGGCTCAGGAGACCTATTGCAAAGCCATTAGAAGAATACAGGCAGTTAGGAACGACTTATCATCTGTACACTATAGGAGCAGAGTGGCTCAAGTGATTGGGAGGCTAGGCAGGAGGTTAGCTGACCCGCGTTTGAGACCCGGTTGCTGCTGTGGGGCAGGGTTGAGCTCTCGTCCTTTGCTCCAGCTCTTGCTGGGGACATAAAAGGAACCCCCCAACTGGGCATCCCCAGGGCAGTGATGATGTCACCAGCTAATCCTTTCAACCCGGAAGCGCCTCGGTGCTTCTGACATGAGTGCAAAAACTGTACTCAATTCATTTTGGAGAGTGTCTTTTTTTTAGTGGAAAACTCTTAAAAAAAAAAAATCTTTCCCATAATGTAATCACTTGAGACAGCTATTCATTGATTCAAATCTTTCTGCATCAGGAGCATTTTTACAACCCTGAAGACGCACCATGGGTGATCTGCTTCACTGCCTCTCCCACCCTAAAAAAACCCCTTGATTTCCTCTCTTCCTTATGGGCTTGATCTTGGAAAAAGAAAGCATTCAGCACCTCTCTTAAAAGTCCAGGTGTAGATCTCTACTTCTGAAGTTTCATTTTTTTCCAAGGCTACTCTTTGGAGGGTTTTTCTGGAAGTGTTGACAATGGCTTCATAAACTGGAAATGTCTCCTCACGGCAGAAATAGTCTTCGTCGTCAGGGAGCTGAATTTCTATTTCTTCTTCTGTAAGAGAAAACAAACGCTACTTTATATTTTAGGGATCTAGTCTACGTCCCCTCTATTGTTGCATTCTACTCCAAAGGGAATCCCATTGTATTCAATGGGCTGTATTCTCAGGGATCACCTACCGGTTTACAGTTCCTTTGTTATCTGAATTACTGCAATGGGCAGAAGAAATAATCTTGAGGAACAGGAGGAAGAGACACAACCAAAGCAACAGACTGATAAAAGAAATCTGACTCTAGGACAGAAATATAATTTGAGAAAATAGCTCAGACATGAACTGTCAAAAGTCCGACGAGCAAACCTAATGAAAGGATCCCGCAAGGCAATTACTGTACATTCCAAAAGGTAAAACTTGGTTGGATACACCATCTCGGAATGGAAGAAGCAAAACCAGCTCTGATCTTCCCAAGCAAAAACTTGCTTAGTTAAACAATAGATTCCCTTGCCCCCATCCACCGGGTGTTCACATTGTCCAATAGTAGTACTTCATTTTGTTATGGGAACAGAATAAGCAGGAGGAAATGCAATCAGACTTAATAGAATATCAGAGTTGGAAGGGACCTTGGAGGTCTTCTAGTCCAACCCTGTTCAAGCAGAAGACCCTATACCATTCCAGACAAGTGGCTGTCCAGTCTCTTTTTAAAAGCCTCTGGTGATGGAGCACCCACAGCTTTTGAAGGCAGCCGTTGCACAGGTCTAATTGTTCTCATTGTTAGGACATTTCTTGCAAGATTCTCTTATTATAACTTTGTAATAAAAGTAATATTAGCTTGCATGCCTTTGTTTCCAAGTTAGTTTCATCTTGGAAGGCTGACAATTACAAGTCATTGTATTATTCCTGCATTTTTCCAGATTCGGATTCCAATCAGTGCAATGTACCAAAATTCTCTTTAAAATGCAGCCTATACTCTTGGAAGAAGCACAACATGATAGTCTACCAACCCTATATCTGAGCCATTTTCCTGGCTTGGAGAACAAAAATGTCCGCAGCTCTTACACTATTCGCTACCTTAAAGTGCAGGTGTTGGTCCCGTTACATAAATACTGAAATTACACTCAATTCCCAATCTGTTTAGCTTGTGGAGGGCAGAAGGTTCTTGATTGTCTTAGCTTTACAAACATTGAGTCAGCTCCAAAGGTATTGCTTCTGTCAATCTTTTTCATATTTTATGTTAGTTTCCTTGTTTTAATTTGCAAATCTGCAATAATACTTATAAAGAAACAAGCAACTCTAGAACACCTCCAGGCATACATTATTTTCTTGAGAATCAACTTTCAAATAAGCGGACAGCACGTTAGCCTAATTTCAATGCCTTTTTGCAAGAGATCACTACAGACCAGGAGCTTCCAACCTTGGGCAATTTTAAGACCTGTGGACTTCATGGCTGGCTGGGGGATTCTGGGAGTTGAAGTCCACATGTCTTAAAGTTACCAAGGGTGGGCATCCCTGCTTTAGACCTCCAATAAGGGGCAGGGAAATCTCAGCAAGAGAGAGAAAATCATATGCAGGGGTATCTCCAGCCACTTGCTTACACCCCAAAACTGTTTCTGTCCTATCCACCGTGTGTCCTCTACGACTCAATGCAACATTGTCAACCTACCTGGACAAACTTTGCAGCATTTCCCTTCAATTTTCTTCGGCTCTTCGCAGGGATACTGATGGGGACACTTGATGGTTTTACATTCTGGCTTAGTGCCGTTGCAAGTACATAAGACGCACTCCACAGTGCCATAGATCCGGAGAAAGGGATGCCAAGTTTCTCCCTGCGAGTAGGTTTTTCCATTTGAAACGCACACTAGAATAAAGAATGGATGGGGGAATGGATGTAAATCTTAGATATAAGAAACAGAGATTTGGTGGCCACAATATGTCATTCTATGGCCATTTCTCTCACTAGCAACAGAATAACAGAGTTGGAAGGGACCTTGGAGGTCTTCTAGTCCAAGCAGGAGACCCTATGCCATTCTGAAAAAACGGCTCTCCGATCTCTTCTTGAAAACCTTCAGTGATGGAGCGCCCACAACTTCTGAAGGCAAGCCATTCCATTGATTTAATTGTTCTCACTGTTAGGAAGTTTCTCCTTAGTTCTAGGTTGCTTCTCTCCTTGATTAGTTACCGCCCATTATTTCTTGTCTTGCCTTCTGATGTTTTGGAAAATAGGCTGCCCCCCCCTCTCCTTTGTGGCTTGCAACATCTTAGTGACTTAGAACAGGGCTTTTCAACCTTTTCACCCACTGTACCACTTTTAGGATATGGCAACATCCGAGTACCACCAGTCGCCTAGCAAGGTGTCAAAAACTTGATGACCAAAAAAAAAAAAAAAAGGAAAAAAGTGATGAAGTACAGGTAGTCCTCGACTTACAACAGTTCACTTAGTGACTGTTTGAAATTACAATGGCACTGAAAAAAGTGCCCCCCAAGCCACAGCCGAGCAAGACACCTGCCTGCCCGCCCGGCGGCACTCTTCCTCCTGTCCGAGGTTTTCATTGTTGTGAGCATTTCTATTGAGGATTGGCAGTGGGGGTGGGGTGGGGGGCTGTTTGGTTTTTATTCCCCCCATCTGCTGGGTGGTTGCAGCAGGTTTTGGTCACTTCACATGACCCTGGGACACTGTGACCGTCATAAATATGAATCAGTTGCCAAGCATCTGAATGTAAATCACAAGACCCTGGAGATGCTGCAACATTCCAACTGATCGGCACTTCTTCTGGGCTCAGCAGAAGTGCCAGGATCAGTGCCGAGCTTCAGCTGGAGCCTGGCGCTGATCCTGGCGCTTCCACTGAGCCCTGACAGTCCCGAAGAAGCACTGATCCCGGCGCTTCCGCTGAGCCCTGACAGCCCTGCAGCTCCAGCCATCTCTCGCTCAGGCTTGTGCGGTGCTGCCACCGGTTCAGCTCATTCCCCTCCCCCGCTACCACTTTTCTAGGATGGTCGCGTATCACCTGCCAGGTGCCAATGTACCACAGGTGGTACCCGTACCACTGCTTGAAAAGCCTTGACTTAGAATATCTTCCTAGCCTCAGCCATATATAATTATGGTGCTCTAAAGCCTGCCCACGTTACGTCTATGGAGAATCTCAATCCAGGTCATGGTTGTCCCAAAAGTGCTTTTTCCAAAAGGCAACTGGGCTTGCTTCTGAACGGAAGAAGCGTCTTGTCTGAAAAGTGAAATGTTTTCAAAGAAAAAAAAATGTCCAGATGCTTTTTTTTTTGGAAAAAAGCATCTTTGGGACTGCCCGCCTTACAATTATGAGTGCACATCAATGGTTGGATGACTCTAGAGGATGTTCTGCATTGCGAGTAAGATACCCAGATGTTGTAAACTCAGTCTGTGACGTATCACGTATCATGGAACAGGTCGAAATGCAGAATAAGCTAGGGGTGCCATTGTATGGCAAGAAACCAAAACACGGTGACACCTGAATCCAGAAAATTTTTTGATTCTGGGGAAAATGTGTGTCAAAATCTAGAGGTGGGATGTTCACGGGTACAAAGAATATCCAATGGGAAAACTCAAAGAGACCAGATAATTAAACAAAAGCCTCACAATAATTTGGTTCCCCTTTGGGAGGAGGGGAGAAGTTGCCTGGCTAGACTTCTCCAATCCTATGGCCTTTGGGGACCATTTGACAGACTGCCAAGCAATCAGAAGAACATTGCTAAAAGGGACATCTCTGTACCTTGTCCAACTTTCTGTTGGTTGTTAAGGATGATGCGTACAGTGGTGCCGGATCGTTGTGAAGTAATTGGCAGAGATTTGTAGTTAGCTCTACCCGGATGATATTGTAGGAGGTCGTTGGCGAGCCTAGGACTACTGGTTGAGGACTTGGGCTGGGAGGGAGGAGAATGCCTCTGGAGAAAAGAGAAAGGAGAGATAATGTGTGAAAACAAAAGTAGAATAACAGAATAACAGAGTTGGAAGGGACCTTGGAGGTCCTAGTCCACGGGTCAGCAACCCGCGGCTCCGGAGCCGCATGTGGCTCTTTAAGCCTTCCCCTGCAGCTCCCAGCCTCCTCTGCCATTTGCACAGAGAGAGAGAGAGACAGAGAGAGGCACTTGCACTTCTCTCTCTCTCTCTCTCTCCCTCTCCCTCTCTCTCCCTCTCCCCCCTCTCTCCCCCTCGCCCCGCTCTCTCTCTCACTGAGTGGGGGAAGAGGTCTGGCAGGGCAGGAGCCAGCCCAATAAGAATGTGTGTCAGCTTGTTGGAGAACAGCGTGAAGCCAGCTTGTCAGGTGAGCAGAAGATTGGAGAGAGGGAGAGAGGGGGGGAGAGAGAGAGAGAGGGAGAGAAAGAGAGAGAGAGAGAGAGAGAGAGAGAGAGAGAGAGAGAATTCATGCACAGCACCCTCTATTTCTTTTTAATTAAACTCTTCAATCAAGCCCCCCTTCTGGCGCGTGCGCGTGTGAGTTTTGCAGCTCCCAGTGTTTTCTTTTCTGTGGGAAATGGGTCCAAGTGACTCTTTGAGTGTTTATGGTTGCCAACCCCTGTCCTAGTCCAACCCCTTGCTCAGGCAGGAAACCCCTATACCAGGGGTAGGCAACCTTGGCTCTTTTATGACTTGTGGACTTCAACTCCCATGCTGGCTCAGGAATTCTGGGAGTTGAAGTCCACGAGTCATAAAAGAGCCAAGGTTGCCTATCCCTGCCCTAGACCATTTCAGACCAATGGTTGACCAATCTCTTCTTAAAAACTTCCAGTTTTTGGAGCATTTAGAAAGGGGGTTTATAACTGGGAATATGAAGCTGGGCATATAATTTCTCATTTAGTCCTGTCCAGGAGCTCCAGACAGTGTGACATTCCCTGGGATTTTTCATATTCAAGAAACTGCAGAACATCCACTAATTAATCTCTCTAAGAACCTTCCATCTTTCCAAACAGCTGGACTGAATGGCGGCTTCCGGTTACATTTTGTTTTTTTCTGACATAAGCCACAGAATCTAGTGGCCAAGTTACATTATCGAATCTATCTCCATCCCCAAAACAGATTTATTTATTTTTTTGAAGTAGACAGAAGAAGCCAATTATAAAACTAGGAAAAATCCTGTCTTACAACCTGAGGTGACAGTACTGTGGAACACTATAAAAAGGGCTGATAACTCCAAGCCTTAATAATTATGCAATTAAAAGGTTTGCATTTAGTTATTTGAATTGAACCAAAATTCCTAACAATTAGTTATGCCGGACTGAAAGTCCGACAGCTCAGTTTCCTAACACAGACATCAGAAACAAGGCAAAAGGAGTTTTTTTGTGAAAAAAAAATATCTTGGATTAAATTCTAGCTTATTTGCATTACAGTTACTCATAGGCTATGTTGGTTACATAGCTGGGGACCAGGTTATCTGAGGGACCATCTCTTTTCGGTCACATCCACCTGACCCACTAGAGCGGGGAGGCAAGGAATGTTGTGGGTCCCATCCCCTTAGGAGATACATCTGATGGGACCCAGAAGAAGGGCCTTTTCCGTGGTGGCTCCCTCTCTCTGGAACACCAACCCTCAAGAAATTAGAGTAGCCCCCACTCTGACACTCTTCAGGGAAGGCCCTGAAGACCTGGTTCTGCTAGCGGGCCTGGGGAACCCAGAGCAGGATGGGGCCCATTAAATGGCTGGTATGAATGTGTGTTGTTGGGGTGGGAAGGTTATTATTTTGTTATTTTTTATTATTTTTATTTCTTTTATATTTTTATTTCCTGTAAGCCACTTTGAGTCGCCGTGAGCAAGTAGGTGGCAATACACATTTTCAAAATAGATAGGTAGGTAGGTAGATATATTTAGATAGATGGATGGATGGATGGATGGGTGGGTGGGTGGGTAGGTAGATAAGCTAGATAGGCAGATAGGCAGGTAGATAGGTAGGTAGATAGGTAGGTAGGTAGGTAGGTAGGTAGGTAGATAGATGGATGGATGGATGGATGGATGGATGGATGGATGGATGGATGGATGGACGAGTGGGTGAGTAGGTAGGTAGATAGCTAGACAGGTACGTAGGTAGGTAGGTACATAGGTAGATGGATGGATGGATGGACGGATAGGGGCGGGCGGGCAGGTAGGTAGGTAGGTAGGTAGGTAGGTGGATGGATGGATGGATGGATGTTAGGAGAAGCTAAGTGCTAAATAGGTTAGTGGAATGAGGAAAGACAGAAAATTTGCAAAATAGAATCAAGAGCAGTGGGAATAATTCTAGTGAAGTCAGAAACATGCAAAAAATAATATTTAATTCATCATGTGGATCTCTCGGTTGCTAAAGATATCTGAATAACATTTTTTTTCCTGTAACAGAATCCTGCCAGGTTCTCATGTTGAAAAAAACACACACACCCAGATCTCAGTTATAATAATTTTGCCTGGGATGTGCCTCCCCCTCAATGGAGATGCTGCTGAGACAAGTTGACTTACAACTTCGCGGTTGGCTGGCTGATAAAGGAAGTCATCATCCAGGTCTCTCAGTGACTCTTCATCTGCACAAGAGACAACAGTGTCAAAAAAAAAAAAAAATCCTGGGCGCCATTTGTGATTGCGCGCTTCCCAAAGGAAGAATGTGGAGGAATAAAAACACAACTGGCTAGCCCAATGAAGTCTATCTGGCAAGGAATAAATCTGTTTATTCCCAGAAGGCATTTGGCTATGGCTTCACCCAAAATGTCCATAACGTTCTGATGGAATCTAAGAAGTCCAAGCAAATTTGCCTTTCAATAATATTGAAAGTTCAACAGACTTCTCACTCACAAGTCTTAAAGTTGCCAAGTTTGAAGACCCCTGATTTAGGCTTATATAGTGCCCTATAGTGCTTCACAGTCCTTTACAGCAGTCTCTAAGTGGTTTAGAGCATCAGCATATTGCCCCTAACAATCTGGGCCCCCATTTTATCGACCTCAGAAGGATGGAAGGCTGAGCTAACTTTGAGCTGGTCAGGATCAAACTGGCTATGGGTAGAATTTCCCTGCAATACTGCACTTGAACCACTGTGCCACCAGGCCTCCTAATAATGATAATGGGATCATGAAGTTGGTGCTGGTGATACTACTTACCTTTGCAAACTTGACAGCAAGAGTCAGACACGGAGACTGGAGAAGCGCAAGTTAATGTGGGACAGGTCTTCAAGGCACAATATACTTCACCTTCCTGCAGTAAAGAATCAAACCAAAATCAAACTGGGTTGTGACACAACAAAGCAATGCAAGGTCCATTCTTTCTTTCTTTCTTTCTTTTTGGGAAGGATTTGGAAGTGTTTTAAACTGCAGTGAAGATTAACAGGATCAACAACCTCTGCAAAAGATCTGAGGTTCCCCAGAAGAGAATCTTCTTGACTTCTTTTATCAGGAGACACAAAAAACGAATCCTTTGAAATCTCCCCAGCCGCAGGGCAAAAAACAGCAAAGTGAAACTACTCAAGTATCCTATTTGTATAGCTTTCAAACTGTATTTGGGGAAGTTTGATGCTCCTGGGAAGTTAATCCAAGGTTCCAGGGTGGCAGAATAGATTCCTTGAATTGGGGTGGGATGGAGGGACATTGTCTTCTAGAACGACAAAAGAGAAGTCCCTTGTTCCAAAATCAGAGCTAGAAATATGCACAAATATTTATTCTTCTCTTGGGTCTTGATGGCCAAAATGTAAACTTGTTGAAGCTCAGAGAGCACCAAGGACCCCACAGTTCAACCCTGAGCTGCAAATATTCTCTTACATCAAAGCCATTTGTGCCTGGTGGAAGCCGGGCCTTCACTTACAGAACAACTGCACTGCTCACACTGATCGGGCTGTTTGTCTTTGAAGATTCCTTCTATGACAAACATCTCCTCATGTTGGTAAATGATCCCGCTGTAATTGCAGGGCTTGCCAATGGTTCTGAAGCTGATGGCAGCAACGGGTTCCTCTGGAAGAAGAGAACAGCCGATGGGAAGAAAGCATTGACGCAACCAAACTCAACCAAGAGGCTCAAACAGGACAGATTAAAAAGTGTAAATATGCCGGATGTGTCCCAGGATAATGTTGTAGATCCAGTGTGATTGGTCACTGGGATGAGAGGTTGAGCCTTCTGAGCTTTTGGACTCATGGTGAAGCCCATCCTCAGGGAATAGAATAGAATAGAATAGAATAGAATAGAGAATTGAATGCAGAATAGAATAGAATAGAATAGAATAGAATAGAATAGAATAGAATAGAATAGAATATAGACTAGAATAGAATATAGACTAGAATAGAAAATAGACTAGACTAGAATATAATATAGACTAGACTAGAATAGAATAGAATATAGACTAGACTAGACTAGAATAGAATAGAAATATAGAATAGAATAGAATAGAATAGAATAGAATAGAATAGAATAGAATAGAATGGAATGGAATGGAATGGAATGGAATGGAATGGAATAGAATAGAATAGAGAATAGAACACAGAATAGAATATAACATAGAATAGAATAGAATAGAAATAAAATAGAATAGAAATAGAATAGAATATAGAATAGAATAGAATAGAATAGAATAGAATATAGACTAGAATAGAATATAGACTAGAATATAGACTAGAATAGAAAATAGACTAGAATAGAATAGAATATAGACTAGACTAGACTAGACTAGACTAGAATATAGAATAGAATAGAATAGAATAGAATAGAATAGAATAGGAGCTGGAAGGGAGCTTGGAGGTCTTCTAATCCAGCCCCCTGCTCAAGCAGGAATGTGTGATTTGGGTTATTCTAAGCACAATATTTATGTGGTCCCTGGTTGTATGTGGCTTTTTTTTTGGTTGATTGGGGTGTTGATGGTGGGCTATTAAGTCATTGGCTGTTGTTTCCTTGTGCCGACAAGTCTTCGGCTTCTAAGTACCTGATAAGCTGGAATAGCCCAAAGCACACCTTCTGTAGAGAGATGTTTCGGCTGCCGCACAAGTCCAAAAGCTCAGAAGACTAAGCCTCTGGTCCCAGTGACTGACCCAGATTGGATCCTGCAGATAAAAAGGGTCTTCAACCTTCACGGCAAATGGCTGAACTAGTGGTCTTGCTAGGCATTTTTATTCGCACAGCCAGGTGGATGTGTAGGCTGGCGTTTCCCAACCTTGGCAACCCTAAGACTTGTGGACTTCAACTCCCAGAATTCCCCATCCATCCATCTCAATTCTGGGAGTTGAAGTCCAAAGGCTTTAAAGTTTCCAAGGCTGGACACCCCTTTTTTAGACCATGATTTAAATGCTTTAGGGACATTCCTCCCTTAGCTTCACCCAATATTTCTTTTCCTTGCTCCTATACGGTTCCCCCCCAGTATTCTTTTTTTTAATATTTAATTTTTACTAAACATTTTCCATAGCAATAAACATAAAATACATAAAGCAAGAAGAAAAATACGAAGCAAATAGATTGTAGAATGAGATGCAAATAAAAGAAAGAAAAAATTATATAAAGAAGCCGTTTCTGCTCTGTTAGAATTACAGTTTTATCCTCATTCGTCCCTGGTTAAATTACCTAATTCTCTTCTTTCCATATTCAACCCTTTTCAATCAGCAAACCCATAAATCACCAGTTTATTTTTTCCATTTTCAGCACCCAAGTTATTTGGGCACGCAGAGACTTAGTTGAGTTTGCAAAGATTTTGTCTTCCTACCAGACTGATGGGTGGCTGAAGCCTTTTTATGTTCGCATTGTCGCACAGCATAAAAAAGAGATGCTTTTGAATTATTTTACTACTGAAGAACGTAGACTGATTTTTTCCCCTTGCTTCTCTTTTCATTTGTGAAGCTGGGCACCTAACCAAAGCAGCACGAGGTTTCAGATCATGGGCAAATGAATTCAACAGCCCCATCTCAAGACCTTTGCAGCTAATTTATGTTGGCACGCTGCTACCTCAGGGCTTTGAATAGCTTTGGATGAATGTGGAGGAAAGGAACTGCTAGGATCTCTACACTGTGCTACATGCATGAAATCCAACACATTAGGGTCTTATATTCGTGTGTAACTCCCTAAAGCCAGAAAGCACATTTTGATATTGAAATACCCTCAGAGTGTTTTAACAACAGACTATTGTCAGAAAGGGGAGGGCAGGGAGAGAGACAGAGGGAAGCACTACATATATTAATTGGGGTTGAAGGATAAACACTTGATCTTCGGTTGGTGTGAAAAGAGAAAAATGGGGGTCATAACTGTAGCAAGTGCTTACATAATCATGACATTCCCCACAACCTCTGAAACCCCATGTCAAGGGCTAAATTCTACATCAATGTGTCGATGAAGATTCTCAACCATACAGGTACAGTTGTCTGAAGGTTGTCTGAATTTTGTTGTTAGTTTGAGAGATGTTTCATTGCCCATCCAGGCAGCTTCCTCAGTCAGAACAAGGCAGTTAGGCAGAGTCACTAGAATGTACCAACTCCTGCCACACCAAGGTTTTCTCCCCAAAGTGCGTTGCAAAATGTCGATGAAGACTTTCAACCATCCAGTTAGAATTGTCTGAAGTTGTCTGAAGGCTGAATTTGCAACTGGACTAAGCTGCCTCGATGGGCGGTGAAAGGTCTCTCAGACTAACAACAAAATTAAAATATAGAACATATAGAACAGGGGTCCCCAACCCCCCGTCTGTAGACCAGTACCGGGCCGCGGCATGCCAGCAACTGGTCCACACAAACAAGCAAAGCCCCATCTGTGAGATGCAGGCAGCACACAAAACCACGCACTCTCCGGTCCACGGAAAAACCTCTCTCCACGGAACCGGTCCCTGGTGCCCAAAAGGTTGGGGACCTCTGACATAGAACATAGAATAATGGAGTCAAAAGGGACCTTGGAGATCTTGTAGTCCAACCGCCTGCTTGAGCAGGAGACCCTATACCATTTCAGACAAATAGTCCTCCAGTCTCTTTTCGAAAGCCTCCAGTAATGGAGCACCCACAACTTCTGAAGGCAAGCCGTTCCATTGCTTGATTGATGATTGATCATTACTAACTGATCATCCAATTGGTTGATTAGTCCAGTTGCAATGATTCAACTTTCAGGCAACCTTTCTACATCAATGAATTCTGAATCCTCTTCACAAGTAGACTACGGGTTACTAATTTCCAAATACACATTCAGCTGCCTCCATCAAATCCTCCTTGCCTGCTGTTCTGTTGCATTACATAATACCTGCTCTCCGGGCAATGTTGATCCAATTATTCCACACTAATGTTGTACAAGTGAGACTCTTTCCCAAGTGGGAATAAACAAGAGGATGAAAAAGTAGCAAAAGCTTCAAGCCACGGGATGTTTAGCATGTAGGAAGATTTTTCTTGCCCCTTTCAAAACTCCTGGCTTCTTCTCTGTTATAACATGATCTCTTGAAATATAATAAATATCCCTGTACAGACCCATGTGTACTGTCACAAAGGCCCACTGGCTCTCTATTTTTCTGCCTGGCCTCGACTTGTTATAAAGCAATGTTGGGTTGCAGCAAATGTGGTTGACAATTCCGTTGATTGCCTTTTGCAGAGAAAAAAGACCATTGTTCGTTTATCTGGGGGGGGGGGAATGGACTTTCAATACACAGGTGGTCCTTGACTTACAACAGTTCCTTTAGTGACCGTCTGAATTTACAAAAGCACTGAAAAAATGGACTTATAACTGTTTTTTCGTACTTTCAGCCATACTTGCAAGCAAGGCAGCATCCCCACGGCCACAAAATCAAAATCCAGATGCTTGGCAACTGACTCACATTTATGTGTCCCTTTTGCAACCTTCTGGCAAGCAAAATCAGTGGAGAAGCCAGCTTCCCTTAACAAGCGTGTCATCACCAATTTAACAACCGCACTGATCGACTTAACAACGGTGGCAAGAAAAATCCTAAAGTGGGTCAGAATTGATTTAACATCTGTCTTGCTTGGCAGCAGAAATTTTAGGCTCAATTGTGGCCGTAAGTCAAAGACTACCTGTATTTGAAACAGCCAGCCAGATATTAAGAAGCACACAAAAAAAGGAACATCACATACTAAAAAAGGAAGAGAAGGCAAAAATGATTTGCCCTAGATCAGGGCTCTTCAAACTTGGCCCTTTTATGACTTCTGGACTTCAACTCCCAGAATTCCTCAGCCAGGCACTCGTGCCTGGCTGAGGAATTCTGGGAGTTGAAGTCCACAAGTCATAAAAGGGCCAGGTTTGAAGAGCCCTGTCCTAGATGAAGGGGACACCACCAAAATTAATGCTCTGTAATGAAGAAAAGGTAGAAACCCATAGAAATTCTATGGGGAACAAGAGGCCGTATTCTCAGGCACTCTGTCCATCGCAAATGGACTGTATAATAGAGTTTTGTTGCACGACAGCCTCCTTTTGTTATTTTTGGACATGGCAGTGATCAGTTGGTTCCCTTCCGGCATTTTGGGCAGCTAATATTCCAGCTTTGCTGCACGAGAGGCGCGGGTTACCTGGACACTTTGGGCAGCATTCTGAGGACTCATATATCGGGCTGGGACACCGCAAGGTTTCACACTTGACTTTCATACACAGCACGTTCCTCCTCTGAAGAAATCAAAGTAGAGAAAAAGACTTTGCGTAAATACATTTTAGCGTGCCAAGTGGCTATTTCCTTATGCCTCAGGGCAGTGATGGCGAACCTTTTAGAGACCGAGTGCCCCAACCCCCCCATCCCCGCTCCGCTGTGCCCGCTGGACCACCCACCACCTCCATGGCCTGCCACAGATCACCCAGGCAGCCCAGCAGCTCCATGGTGGCCACGCCTTCCACCCACGCCCTGCAGCATCATCTGCACGTGATGGGGTGCAAGGGTGGAGTCTTGTCCCCACTTCCCGGCTACCATGTCATTGGTTGCACAGCATTGCGTGGGCCATGCCCGGGGGCGGCTCTCCTCCGGAGGGCTGCTGGTGAGGAGGGGGCCGTGGGAGGAGGCGGGGCTGGGGCGATGGTGCATGTGCCCACAGAGAGGGCTCTGAGTGCTGCCTCTGGCACGTGTGCCATAGGTTCGCCACCACTGCCCGAGGGCAAAGGATTGACTGATCCACCTCCAATGCCCAAATGGCCCATCTAGCTTTCTGTTGGTGGTCCCTGCTTCTGAAGACCCTTCCTCAATGGACACTGACTTTGATCGGCTTTGAGAGGCTCGGTCTTTAATACTAAAATTGCTTCCTCTCCGATCTCTGCACTTAAGTACAGGTAGACCTACGACGTATCACCTGAATGGAGTGGGTTTTGCCCCATTTTATGACCGTTCTTGCCATAGTTGCAAAGTGAATCACTGCAGAGTCTTCTTTCTGCATCTGCAATATACTCTGGGAACTATTAGGGAGGGGCTGTCTTCATCCCCTTTCTCTCACACATGATCTCTGGGCTAAGTTATCTCTTACTCCTCTGGAATGGACCTCTTCCCTCCTGGAAATCCATCTCCTCACTACATTCCATCATAACATTTGTGGACTTCAGCTCCCAGAATCCCTTAGTCACTACGTGTGGACTTCAACTCCCAGAATCCCTCGGACTTTATGTGTGGACTTCAACTCCCAGAATCCCTTAGTCACCACGTGTGGACTTCAACTCCCAGAATCCCTCAGACTTTATGTGTGGACTTCAGCTCCCAGAATTCCACAGTCAGCCTGTGTCAGGCTCAAAAGCAGGAAACCATCTTTCCAAGCTGAGGTCTTTATTGTTTTCACACCTATAGACCAAACTCTTGCCAGACAGAGGACTCTACTTTCTGCATGTACAATATACTCTGGGAACTATTGAGGAGGAGCTGCCTTCACCGTCTTTCTGTCACACATGGTCCCTGGGCTGAGTTGCCTCTTACTCCTCTGGAATTGACCCTTTCCCTCCTGGGAATCCCCCTCCTCACTAGATCCCATCACATTACCTCTGTGCAGAAACAGTCGAGACAGGGAATAATTCCATGGGGCTCAAGGTACGGTTTCCATTTTGTTCCTACTCGATACTTCCTATCTTGAAACATGCAATAGGTTTCTGAATCTGCAAAAGAGAGAGGGAGAGGGAGAGAGACAGAGAGAGAGACAGAGAGACAGAGACAGAGAG